CTTGTGATTGGTTCTCTTCTGAAATGGACCGACATTCCGACTACAACCCGCCCTGGCCTGAATGACGGTCAATTGAAGGCCACCATTACGAGTTGGCATTTCTCCAAAGCAGCGCTCAGAGATGGACCAAGTGACGGCCAAGCGACATTGCGGGGTGCCGACGCCAGCGATGGCCTTGGACCACCTCCGCCTCTGCATCGTCCAGTGCTTCCACTCGCATCAGGATGCCGTCGCCTTTCTGTGCGCCTTGCCGTCCCTTGATGGGCCACTGAGAGCGCTGCTTATGCTCTTGACGACGTCCTCGACCTTTCGAGACCAATGGCCAGCGATCGTTCTCGAGGACCTGAACGAAGCCGAGAGAGATCTTGCCCGCGCTGCGCTGCCAGCGATCCCAGCTATACACATCAAGGAGAGTAAAAGCCTGGCGTGCGCGCTCTCGGGTCGGTACTCCGACCTCGGCACATTCATAACAGCCTGGCCCACCAAGGTCACGCTCGTTCGCGATCGCATCTCTCGCGCCGACGTCGAGAGGTTGCGTTGTCTGCAGCACTGCACGCGCCTCGATTACGTGAGCGTCTACGTCGATGCGTTTGGTACACTACTGCCGTCGCTGCCGTCGAGTGTTCGCCACGTGACGCTTGTCGACGATAGCCTCGACTTGGAGTACACTCCGGACGACCGCATCGTCGATTCGAACCTCGCAGTGACGCTGCGGCGGTGGCTTGAGAACGGCCAAAGCAAGCCCAAGCACGTCAGTTTCGAATGCGATTTGGCGCCCGATGACGCGGCTGCCGTTGGTGACGTGCTTGTATCCGCTTCACATTTGACAACCCTCAAGATCTGGCACTCGGCTGAGCTCGTCACGGCACTAATCGCTACCCCCACGCCACTACCACCGCTGACAAGGTTTGCCATCACGATGGTCCCGAAAGGCGCGTCCCACCTCGTATCGCGTCTCAATTTTTCCGCGCTCACTCATCTCGACGTTGAGTTCACGGACCTGAGCGGGGTCCTGCCTTTGCTACCATCAATGATCAACCTGCGAGAGCTCACATTAGTGGGCGGCGCGCTCTGCGAGATGCCGTCGACGTTGGCGAAGGCCCCGATATCGCTGCGCGCGCTGGCGCTTCGGTTTGTCGACCTCGCGAGCGAAGCGCTGGACGCATTTCTGCGGTGGCTCTTTGGCTTGCACCGGCTCCACTCTGTCACTGTCTACGACATTTTCGTGTACGGCCAGTCGCTATCACTGCGACAGATAGCCGCGCGCCATTGGACCCTCCGCACAAGCTTCTTGAGCACCGCTCTCAACGGGAGGCCATGCGGGGTATTGCAAGATACGTCGACGCCAAAGCCCAACACTGTCGACGAGATCATGTTCTGGGCACTCGCTCGCGCCGTCTCGCACTTGGTCAACACCACGGTCGAGGTGTCGATCGACTTTTGCGCAGAAAAGCTCGAGGACGTGACGCGCCAAGCTGAAGCGAGATACGGCGTTCGAATGACGCATCGATCGGCTACGGAGTACGGTCTCCATAGCCCCACGAACTAAAACATACGAATACACGCATGGGCTTTTTTATTGACCCATGCACACGTTAAACATGAGTTTGCATATACTGTACATACACCTGAAAACTCAACTACCGAAAACTGTGAAAAGCCAATAGCCGGCAATTGAAGCAGTGCAATTATCCGGATGCCTCCGCATATCATCACAAATTGACGATGGCTGTCGCCGACGTTGTCGTCCTTGCGGCAACCGCGATCGTGCC